CTTATACTTAAATCTAGTTACTTTAACTGAGATTAATTAAGTTTTGATGATTACTTAAATAAATCACTTGGGCAGATTAATAGTATTATTATAAATTATATAGACTTATTATACTATATTATTTGATAAAACTGTTTTATTTCACAACCCCGATATTCGTGGTTGTATCTAACAATGCAATAAATTATGCCCTCGCCAAAGGACTGAGCCAACGAAGATTTGGTACCCACTAGCGTGCTCACAGTAGTATGTGTTTATTTAGTTTGGGTATATGCCTAATGTAGGTTTGCCAGTGCCAAAACGGAGCCATTAGATTCGTAGCTTTTCTATATCAATGGAATAAATGCAAAATCACTAACAATTTTTATACTAATACAATATATTGTAAATTGCAATGATTTTACAACGATCCGTAGCGGTTTTTATCAAAGTTATAAGATCATCATACTAGTGGTTTTAACCAAAATACTTATGATACCGATACTGTTGATACAAAGGCAGTGATGGCTAAAAACAGCTAGATTGCGTCTTAGCAGTCATGAATAAGGAGTGTACACATACACAATGACACGTTTAACGGTGAAACCTGTTAAGTTTTATTGAGCAATTGACGGTAATCATTTTGGTTTACCGTTCCTTCATTGACTCTTAATTTACATCTCCCACAAGCGATTGCTATTAAACTAACCTCTACCTTAACTATCTAAAAACTGGGCATTCCTTGCATTTATAACTTTTGTTTATTGTGTCAACATGACCAAAATGCTCTGCTTTTTGTGTGAGTGTCTAAGTGTACATGTTGCACCGTTTTAATGTTTGGTACCATACCATGTTTGATATAACAACAGTTTCAATACCATTTTCAATTTAGTACAATTTTATTATCTATTCATTTTTCGTGCTTCGTAAATAACGTTGAGAGCAAAAAATATATCGCTTCTAATAAAAATCTTTGCTCCTGTTAGTACACCAGTTAGGTCAAGGTTAAAATCTATTTTACTATTCTTGTTTTAATGAACGGATATAATTACACTTTTGAAAATATTTATCTCACATTTAATATACGTATTTCCTCTATTTACTTAAAATCTGCACTTAACCCTAGTTCTTCCGTTCTTTAAATTGTTTTCAGGTTAAAATATTATCTTAGTCAGAAACATATAGTTAATACGATTATTATGATATCAACTACTGTATTTTCTACACAAAAGTACCTTTATAACCTTCCCCATATTACTTATGTTTTTTTTTGGTAAAATGAAAGTGTAACCACATCTTAGCTGTGCAGTCAAGTCGTAGATGCTGAAAGCTAATTTCCACGGACGCTGATGCTTACGACACTCAGTTAGCATAGTTGAAGGTCAGCTGGATCTCAGAAGTTCTGTGATCAGCTGTTTCTTCGATCAGCTGTTTGTATTCCCAGCTACCATCTGTAGGCATACATCTCCCCGACTAGGCTGATAACATGTCATGGCCGACAGTGATCAGTGGTACAATTGATTTGGTTTTTATTGAGGTTGTTGTTATTTATGGAGAAGACTAGTTTGGCTGTACTAAGGTCAAAAGAATACTGAGGCTTGAAAGAAGATTCACAGCTTAACAGCTATTTTAAGAACGGTATCAATATAATAGAATAATAGAACCCGAAATAATCATAAAAAAATTAACAACTAACTGTCAAAATTAAGTTGTTATATTGTTATCTCTCCGAATGGAACCCTCAGGTAAAGATCTCTTATTTTGAGTAAAGAGTAATTTTGTAAATAACTTCTTGATCAGCATTGTACCTGTTATTAAATTTACGGAAAGTAAATAAAATAAACGTCTTATAACACTTAAAACATATATTTACGCTTATACTGTTACTCACAAGACGGTAAATATGCAAAAAAGATGGTAAGTGGTGATCGATTTCGATTGGACACTCCAATCATCATCCAGTAAAGTTAAGTTGTAAAGTTTCGCCTATGAACTTTACAACATTATAGTGCATCGATGTTTTTTTATTCTTTTCAATTAACAAACTTAGATTGTTTCTTTTGAAAAAAAAACTTGTTGGCAAACAGATATAATACCCAAATGAAATCAATCAATTGAATCTAGTATTTTAAGCAACATTACTCCTTAGATTGTAAAATTGGCTGTAATGTGATAATCCGATACAAGAGTCTATGCCTAAGATTTGTCATTAGACAACTGAAGAGACAGTTGATACCCATCCAAACTAATGTGAGCAAATCTTTATGATTTTTTACCGCTGTGTCAGACCATTTAAAAACTAAAAATCAATCATTTATTTTAATGACTCATTTACGAGTAACGATAACTAAAATGCAGCTTACGTTTATCAATTAAAATGCGTCTACTACAAAGATTGCTTCAAATTTGTTACTCTAAAAAACGTTAAACGTTCCTGTTCCAATCGATATGTTTAGCCTTCTGTAAAACCAGGCGTTGAAGTCTCTAATATATTCGCACATACGCATATTGGTTTTGTGATATTTAATCTTTAAAAAACCTCGTTTACCAAAACATAAATATTTGGTAGACATTATTAGTTTTAGTTTTACTTTGGATGTGGTAAGGAAATAACCAGTTGCATTATAAATAAAATTAATAATTTTTACAATAAAAAAATTAATAATTACTGGCTCTTTGTAAACTATTGTGAATCTGTGTGTGTTAAGATTGAACATTTAATTTTTAAGTCGACTTAGAACATGTAACAACTTAGTTCAATGGTCTACTAATATAATGTGTTCTTCAAGCAGCACACGGTGTGAAAACAATTCTTGAACAAAGGATAAAAGAAGATAACTTGGAGAAGCTGCTATGTTTTGAAAAAAAGTCACAACGTTATCCTAATGTTTATTGAGGCAATATGAACAGGGCTTGTTTGCCTACATGCTGTGTTTTTAAGTATATTTAATTCCATTTTTATACTACTATAATGTCTCTTTAGTCTTTGTAGTGTGATTTTGTATTCCACTGATTATTAATAAATAAACATTCTTATTAGTTATTCAGGTATGCAACACTCAAGCTCACCAACACTTGTGAATGCACATTCTGATACCTTGCAATAAACATGTACTACTGTAATTAACAGTTATGGGCTTTAATTAGCATATGATATTAGAGAACAGGTCAGCAATGGTTTGAAAAGGTTGGCCTTTAAGATTATTTTCTCCATCTCCTGTAACTACTCAAATATTGTGAATGACGTATTTCTGAAAACTAATACCGATTCTTAACCCTCCACCATTTAGTTTCCAAACATTAAGTATTTTTTTAAGTCTCTGAATGCAATGTGCAAAAGGGCACCGTAAAATTGGAATGCAGAATGGAAACGTGACAACGTGCGAGCATGGGGGACTTTGCAAATGTCAGGAAGAGTCAGACAAGTTATGCACTTTTGTCTGTGTGCATCCTTGCACAATGCACTTCATCATTGTGCAATGCGAAACGCACGCATGTGCATTGTAAACTACACGTGTAGGTTGGGGCGGAATGGAGAATATTAACTTAGTTATTAACGGCCCGTTTTGTCCTAGGACGGTTTACACATAGCTTTTAACAAGTCCGTGCTTTTTGCAGGAAAAACACCGTTGTTGTTTGGGAACGAACTGATCCTTATAAACAACTTTTTTCAATCATAGCGATTTTTAACGCCTATTTTACTACGCCTGTATTGCTAATGCCTATTTTAACCCAAATATGAGTGAAGGATGAGTGTAGAATTGGATGTGATGATCTGTGTAGGTTTCTTACTGACTAAAATCAGCTGTTTCATTAGTCAGGATAATTATTATTTATTAAAAGCTCAATGATCAGAAACATATGATACCAGTTTCGAACAATCAAAAAACTACTGTATTTCTTCAGGATCGATTCGGTAACCTATTGATTGTTCGGCGAGCACTATAACCACTCAGCTACCCACCCAGTCAGACGAGGCTTAATAAACAGAAAAGTCTCCTTTAGCTGATCGGGGCTTATCAAATAATGCAATAGGTTACTTAGACTAATGGTGTAGACTTTTTCGGACAATTAAATGGTTCAAACAAAAGACGACTAAACTATAACATCTTTAATTTTACTTCGTATTTAATATCATAAGAGATTTTTCAGGAAAGGAAGATTTAGGATTTTTAAGGCACAATTTTGTTAACTATTGCATAATCTAATTTTTGAAAGAACAATGTTTTGTGTTATTTCTCACAGATGTTCGTCAGGTCAGATTGCAGGAGTTTCCGTGGAGGTGACCGTCTACAAATCTATCCAGATATCGATAGGTTTACCTATACTGTAATGCCGTTGCCCGGACAGACAGCTTTAGGTAAAGATAATAACTAAAGATAATATGTCTCTTAGACGGAGAAAGTTATTTCTCCAAGATATATCTACAAAAGCTATGCAATAACCCAAGTGTATGTGGTTTTATTTTTTATGATAAAACTGTGCTTTTTTGTAACGCATATTACAAAAAGCACTTACATAATATATGTCGTGGAATTGCGATAGAACAATTTAACATATATTTTTGGACTAAAAGTTGGGCACCTAACAAACACAGTATTAATATCAAACAGTAACTACACATAGTTATTGTTACATTCTACACCATCTCTGATATGATCAACTGCATATTTCTCACGTTCTCATACAAGATTGTTACCAATTAAATTAACAAGTATGTGATCACTCCCTCCCATCTTCACCTCCCACTCCATAGTTACTCCATACTCCGTCCTAGACCCTACCTATGGTGACATCGGGCTGCGAGGGGGCGCTGGAGCTAGAAGGGGGAATTTTTCTGTCAACCATCCCATGTATAATAGGCGCGTACAGCTTGGGTATAAATAGACCTTCTAAGGCCTCAGGACATACTTCTGCCGAGCTTCTGTGATTGCGACGATGAACATTGTGAGTGCTGTGTTAGTGTTGTGAAGTGAATTTTAGCGCTTAAAATGACATAGTTTTGTATTTCTTCGGGCTATAAAAAGTGGGGTTTAGATTATAAAACACCATTAGTGATGTACACTGAGGTCTATTTTTATTATAATAACTACGGTTTCGATTTAATTAGACTAGGGACCAATGTTTGTCAGCTTTATGTACCTCCAGCCTCGAACTAACTATTGAAAAGATATATATATATTTGTGTTTTTTTATCTACTTGTGAAATTTCTTTCTAACTAGAGTTTGGATTAATTTAAAGTCAATTAGAGTCAAGGAACTATACAACATTTTGTCTAAACCCGATTTTTTGGGTAATCCAAATTTAATTTTTCTTCGCTAATAAAAGGAAAGAATTTATTTTACTGTAATTGAACTCAGATTGATGAAAGAGTAAACGTTTAGTTTTAATACGTTGAAATTGCAGCTATTTAATCAGAGTCAGATGTCTAATTTCAAATTACAAAACAGCTGAAAACTATTGATTTATGGTTTGAAACAATAACAAGGATTGACAATAAGGTTAAAAAGTAATTAATCAATAACGCAAAGGTTTTTTAAGAAATCTGCTGATAAAAAGTATGTTTTAAAAACTATATTTTACTGTTGTTTCATAGACGATTCAGCATAAACACTATTTGAAATACATTGAATATTTGAGAAGCTATTTAAAAGTATAAAATCCATTTTGTACTTCTATCTTGAATAAATTAAGTAGCCTATGTGTTAAATTATGAAATGGTTACTTCATGAGAATATTATTCGGAATAAATAATTTAGCTCGTACTGTGTCTTATAATATCAAAATCTTTGGAGGTTGGTATTTTTTACAAGTTCTGCTCAAAGCATTGCTGACTAACATTCCATATGATGTTTTTTTCTGTAAAGTAAGAATTTTCCAACGTCTTTGTAAATGAAAATAACTACTTGATATTATTTGCATACCCTAAGTGGAATTACTGTTTACTAAGTGGAATTACTAAGTGGATTATGTGTTTGGATGGAAAGTTATCCTATTCATGGCAACAGCATGTGCTACAAACTGTATCTTAGGATCACTGCATGCATTCCTAGCAACTATCGTAGATTATTCCAAACAAAATACGTATTATTTTCCACGTCTTATATTATGGAAATGGTGGAGTGGCAGTAAAATATGAGTAATATTATATTTGAATATTACGTTAGGATAGGACAAATTCAAATCACATATTAGTTTGTAACCTAACCTACAGAATAGACAAATATACGACAACAGTCTTTTAATTATTTTAGAAGTAAATTAATTAATTGTAAAATAAAGATATACTGTCTACTCTCCACTAAAAAAAAAAAACTTCGCTAGATAGGTTTATCATAGGTGGTTGGTTGTATGGGTTTGAACTACAATATATACATAAACCATTTAACAATCCATACATTTTTAATAAAGTTTTTTTTTACAATAGGCTAATTAAAATCACTTGGTAATATGTATACTGTAGTAAATGTGTAGTAAATTTACGCTAGCAAACTAAGTAAAAAGTTCAAATTTGTGAAAGCCAAACTAAAAACTATATTAAAGAAATAATAATTAGATCAAACAAAAACAAATCTTTTGTTTCCACTTTTTCAAAATTTGTATAGGACCAAAGTGAGTTGTGTTAAAGATTTAGGCTTCCATTATAACAAACCATAGTTTTATTAAATTTAATTGAGTGGTAATCATGAAAGAAAATGAAATTACATTTAACAAAGACCTCATATAAAAATTAGTGTTAGCAAAATATACACGACTTTTTCAAACTGATACAATACCAGATTGTCTTTAAAATTATAATTAAGTACCAATTGTGGAACACAGGAATAACCTAGTAAAGCTCGACTAACCATATACAGGGTGGGGCAATGAAAGCGCCCCAATTTATAAGCAGTACAAACTCAATAATATTCACCCTATGGATATAAATAGCACATCAAAACACAGCTTATCTTTTGCCATTTTAACTTAACAAAGTCGTTTTTCCATTTCTTGAGAACGAAATCCTGCAAGTGACGTCCTTGTCCTACTTGACATTAGGCATTTGAAAACTCCATCAAATACTCCTCCAGCATTTCTTCAGGAATCACTTTAGTTTTTGGACAATGCTTAGCTTCGGTTCAAGCAAATCTGTGGGGTTACTTTGAAAAACCTCGAACTTCAAGTAGCTTATTAGAACCCCCCCCCCCCCACCTTCCAAAAAAGGAGCCAACGTAAAGCTTTCAACAACAACAGCTTCCTGGCAAATCTCTTTGGCCTTTGAGTTACTGCGACTCGCACTCTTTCAACATTTGCTGGTGTACAAAGAGTTTTGCGGCCCCCACCGATTATTTTTAAGGTTTAAGCGTTTATCGTAAATAATTTTACCCAGTTCACCATTTTTTCCAATCTGGAACAGTGCCATGTTGACCAAGGATGGAATGTGGTCCAAACAATCTCTGGGTTTTTGCACAAGAACCACTATTTTTATAATAGGTTTGCACATACAAATCTCAGTGTTAATAGCCTCGGGCATAATATTTACTAAAATGGCATAGTTTGATTGATGTTTTAAGCATAGCTGATCATTCGTTGTTGCAACAATTAACATGTGACAGCTAAAACAAATTGTGGCGTTCTCATTGCCCCACCCTGTATTTTAAAAATAAATAATAACAGCATTGGGAATGTTCTTATACTAAACTTGAAAGTTTACAATATATTTTTACCTATGGATCGTTACGTTGGTAACAATTGTTTCGTTTCTTAAGGAACAATCAAAATACTGGTCTCGTTACAAACAAAATTTGATGTTAGAGAACATAAATAACAAGTAGTCCAATAGTACCTAAACACCTGGGCCAAAAATCGACCCCTTTTAAAATCGAACTAGTTAACCTCGACGAGGGCCCGGACCGCAACCGGCAGGACATTTCTACTTGGTCTCTGAGTCAGTATTCTACTTACTAACCTTAGATAATCACAATAACTAAACACTGTGCCTAAAACGTAATGATTAGTTATTTCAACATCCCAAAGAAAAATTTTTTATCTACATACTATACCATTTACACTGGTATTTGTTGACAGAGTATTATCCTACTGCTATGTGTGGTGGTGGCCACCCAAGGCGCACCCCACCCCCAAGGCAGCACACCTATACCCATCATATCATCCAACTCAGAACTTAGGGAAGATGGGAGCTACGTATACAAGTGAGTACTGTTAGGTTTATCACGCAACAAAGATTTAAAATATAGATTGATTGAAGTTAAAATTATATCCTAAGCAGATGGTGGCAATTCAAATGGAAAGCATTGTTCCCCTTGTTACAAATATGTACTCTTAATTGCTGTACAGTAACTAAACGTATTAAAAAGTATAAAATATAAATTTGAATAATTTCTTTTGTTTCACTTTCACTACAACTCGAAGAGCTCAAAATACTTTAACGGCATAGAATCTGGGGTTTTTTATAAGACGTTGGCGGCCTCTTTTAACCTTGCATTTGCCCGCACACATTGACTAACCACCCGTGCGTGGATCGTATACAGCAAAGCAAGGAGTGAGCCGGTACAGTACAAAGACCGGTTCGGTTTAAATGAATCAGACATTTGGAAAGCTGTTTATGGGAGTATTAAACGTATTTATAGTACTATTTTAAATACATTAAGTAGACTATGTGTTAGAATATTAAATATTAATTTCACGTAAACATTATTTATGATATATCAGCTTTATAAATGTGAATTTTGACAGTATAATGGAGGCTATAATTAAAGATGTGTGTCATGTACTAGGGTTAAATGATTCTGGTTGGTCCTTTGTTAATTATATATAAAATAATTGATCTATACTCAAATTTGTTATTTGGAACTCTGGATCCTTTCATGAATCTAGAAAAATGTTTACGGCACAAAAAAAAAACTAACAGCATCACCCACTCGTGTGAATAAAATATAAAAATAAACGGTTTACAATAAAAAAAATTGCAAGAACCTATTACATTTTGTATCTTACAAAAACATCCCAAAGTACAAAATGTGTGTGTAGAATAAACTAGATAAAACGTCTTTTGAGAAAATAATGTTTAGATGGGTTGGATTTATTCACTTCCAGAGAAGTAGTTTTACTTAAAATATGAAATATTAGAAATAATTTTTAGTTAAATTTTTTCTTTCTTACTAAATTTCAACAAAAATCTTAGTTCAAATTAACAATTTAATAGGGAGTCTAAGTTGATGTCACACGTGACTTATTTTTTAAATTACACCAAATGCTTGTGAACAAAATAGAGATTTAGTCAATTATTCCCCTAGAATTAATTTTATATACAACACCTTCCTAATACCAAAACACTCTTCCAAAAATCATTTAGTTTATACTTTGCTCTTTTGAATTTCCATATGTCTTAATTATTAAGAAATATAATTGTCTGCCTCATAGGTACCTCAATAGTAAGTTGTACGGTATTTAAAGTTTCGTACGCAGAAGTTTCGTTTCTTCCGGTTGTGGTTTCGCAAAGTTCAGGTTTATTAATTTGTTTATAATTATTAGACTCTTATTTGCATTAAAAGTCGTATATATACTTACTTGTATACATACGAGTTGTTTGTTGTTAGATTCTTAGAAATAAAGGAAGAATCTGATTTCTAAAGATTGCTAACAAACTTTGGGTGAAGTTACGCAAAGTTTGCTCTTAGTTGGTAGGGATAAAATTAATATGATAAATAGGTTTACATACCTTATAAAACTGACAAACAGCTCAATTTTACTGAAGGTGAAGGCTGTTTACGTGTTTCGGCTTGTATCCGCCATTGTCAAAACATCGCAGTTGGATGATGAAATCCTTGTCATTGTTTGCTACTAAAAGTAGGCCTACATACACGGACGGGACGAAGACATAACAAAAACGAAAAAAGTAATGTAAGTAAAGTAAATAAATAAATAAATTAAATAAATAAGTAAATGTATAAATAAATAAATAATAAATACTTCGTCCTGTTCGTTTATGTGTGTATGTGTACTTGCAAACAATGACAAGGATTTCACCATTCAACTGCGATGTTTTGACAACCTATTTATCATATTGAATAAAACAGCTTATATTGAATAAAACAGGAGCTAGGATGGAAATGAATTTTAATTAGTGATAAAATCATCATCTATACATCAATATAGACCTACAATTCGTCAATAGTATTATTACATTAACCTGCACTCTGTATGAATCATAGATTATTATACGTTGTATAATAGATATAATTAGATTTAAATTAACTCAACAAGTGCTATTACTGTTCATCAGCTGATTATCATAACACCCATTCCAGCTATAAAACCGCCAACGACATAGAGGTGGAGGAGGAAGGGACGATCAAGAAGGCAGTCAGCCCAGCAACCCCTGAGGAGGAGAACGTGATCGCAGTCAAGGGGAAGTATTCATACAAGGCTGACGACGGAACCCTCATAGAGCTGATCTACACAGCAGACGACGAGACAGGGTTCGTCGCCCAGGGTGCACACCTCCCTACAGCCCCTCCCATACCAGAGGCGATCCAGAAGGCACTGGCCTACATAGCCTCCCAGCCTTCTACACCGGAGACCCCGGCTAGAGGCTAGGGTGGATATTGGGTTGTAAATAAGTTTTGTATATTAAAGTTTAAATTTTTTTGGAAGGATGTATTCTTTGAACCGTGTGTTTGGGGTAATTTGTGAGGATGTTTTTTTAACTTAAATTTGAACTTGAAAGTGTTACGTGAATCATAGCTACCATGTTTAAAAGAGCTCAAAACCATTTCAACACCCATATACACGCTCTCACTGGCATTTACACTCTCTATGATGAAAAGATGACGATTCTCCAGTCCCATGTCAGGCCAATAATTAGTCTGAGACAAAAAAATGTTAGGTCTATCTATATATGCATTTTACCATGTCTTTTATATGGCTTAAGATTTTTTATAGGCTCGTTTCAGAAAAGTTTTGCTGTATTCAACAACTTATGAAACCTTGAACCGAAATAAGCTTATGATGTGGTTTCAATTAAAATTATAGTATGATTTAAATTCAGGAGCGTTTCTCCCTGAAACAAAAACAAATTTGCTTTTTGCTTTCGAGGTAAATGAACATAATGGTGTCCTCAACCCACCGGGCCACGGTATGAACACAAAGCTACCAAACCTTTGTTGATCAGCAGGATTTGTACCTTGGCCCTTAGACAGAAGTCTCGCACTTTATAATATTGTTACGTAATGTCATTGTGTACGCTTTGCAGCTTGTAGTGTGTTCAATGGTAACAATTAATCGTCACAATTACACTCCTTAAATTAATGTAAAACCAACTACACGATCTGTTTCAATCGTCTTTGGTAGAAGATTCAGGCAAGAACTAGTTGACGTTAAAAATATTTGCCTTCACCATCAAGATATATATTTATGTCAAAGATTATAGCCATTGACTATATAACACTAGCGTTTCACACAGTGGTTCATACAGATGGTCACATAATACCCCGTACATAAGATCCTTCAAACAACCTTAAACATAACTTAGCAGCTTCATGAACAATCACGCGCCTGCCTCAAGGTTAATACGATTCAACAGACAGATCCACGTGTTCACGTGATTGTAAATAGATTAATTAATGGTTGCCTTTTGAAAACAACACCACGTTGCTTTCAATAGAAGAGTTATCATTTTGCTTCGAGGTGTGTCAAGCCATATTTCTGGTTGCAAAAAAAAACCCATAGAATGGAGTGAAAACATAAGAATTTGTGTCCAAATTCTTTTCAAAACTCGTTTCTACAAATCATTACAAATCTAAAATTGTTAAACATTCGAAATTGTTTGCTTAAACTGATCGACTGTGGACAAAAATCTATTAGAATACATAAAATAAATTCCCGTTGGTATTTTTATAAGATACGTCTCTTAATAGAGAATTTTTATTAATAACTTCTCTGTAGTCTCATATAACCTTCATAACAGTATGAGCAATATTAGAGATTTATTGTCTAAATGGATATTAAATATAAATTTCTTTATAACACCTGGAGCTATGCTACCTTCAACATGTGAATATAACAGTTAATATTATTAAAAGTAAAATAATAAATAAAAAAATGGATAAATTCTATTATATATACCATAAAAATTCAATCTACACAAGAAGGATATTTTTTTATATGTTAATAGCCCTGTTCCAAGGATAGAGTATAAAATCGGTTTATCATGACAAGAAATTAAATTAGGGAAAATAACTAAATTTTGAGTATTAGGGGTTTTAAACGTTGTTATATATGGTAGTTCATTGCTAGGTAATTTGTATTAAAATAAATTAAATATATATACATTAATTAATTTAGACTAATAATTATACACCTGTGGATTTAATTTTAAGTTTTTCTTTTATTTTTTGTTTAGTTATATTATGCACCTTAAACACTTTGTCAAGCAGCCTGTCTAACAGTACTGAATCACCTTTCACAGTTCACCATTTGCAGGCTACTCACTTGGCTTCTGCTGACTTTCCCCAGGATACTTGTTTTGTATCAAAGTTCTCATACTGAAAATGACATAGTTGAATTGTACTCAATTGGTAAACGTAATGTAAATCATAATTCAGCCTATTGTGCTAAGAATGAATTATAGGTTTTGCCCAAAGGTTTACCATAAAGCAAACAAATCTGTAGATGGCGTGTATTTAATTAATACCCTTCCGATAAAGGTTATTTATGGTGAACCTTTTGAAGGGTATGGAACCATTAGGGTGTGAATACTTGGTCATAACGAAAACCAAAATCAACTTACACTATTCCAGGTAATTTTACTATGCAGTAATATGATTTAAAGGCTAAATATTACAAAAACATCAATTTACCCGGACAATATACTTCAAAGAAACAGATACTTCTTTCTTGTAAGCCCATTTAAAATATCATAAAAGGGATAAATATATTTATAATTGATATAATCACTAAAAATCTAAAATGATTACCTATTTATATTACCACACTAAACTGAATCTTCATTTTAATAATTTATCACTACAAAAGGGTAGTCAAGTATTTTATTTTAGTTTTTGGCATTACAGTCTTTTTAGTTTTTAGTTTTTAATAGGCCTACTGATATTTTTATACGTACTATACGTAGGTACTATACGTACTATACGTAGTCCTTAGAGTTGTAGTCCATAGTTTAAACATATTCCAAATGAACAGCGTCTGATCTTTATCATAGGTGATTATATACTACGATGATAATCTGTATAGGTAATTTAGACGATTCCTTATACATTTGGCAACTCAATGGCACAGTCGTGTCTCTCAAGAGAGTACAGATTTCAAAGTGTGTTGCTATGTTTAAGCTGACACATCTATGATGAGGTTTCTAGCTTATTATAATGTTTAAATCTACCCCAAGATTGTAACACCTTTTAGCCTCACGTTCATCTGTGTATCGTAACGAAACAGAAAACGCAAAAAATATTTTAAGATATACTACTATGGAAATAAAAAATAAAGTCCCTAATAAAACAAATAAATATAATAGTATATTTCGTACCTAGGGCCGAAAATGAGTTTTTGCCGGCTTGAAATAGTTTTTAAGATCGAGACGAAGTCGAGAACTTAAATCGATCGAGAGCTGCAAAACCATTTCGGTCCGTGGTACGAACGCTATTTTTCACCACACTATACCCTATTACCACTATTCACCACTATAATAATGCACACTGATAGTCAACACATCTACAACTTTAAGGTTATGTGAAGAAATAATTTGAGGAATCAGCAAAAATATAAATAAATTGTTGCTAGGAACGGCGACAATAACACAATTCTATTGCAATGCTATGGATTTTGATTGTGTATTTAAAATGCATTCATGTTTTAAATAAGTAAGCAGACAGCTGATTTTGTGGCCCCGGGCTGTAAAAACCCGCTCGGTCCCCAAATTACGATGACAGCTGGCATGGCCAGCAAAACGTAACTTTCAGCCACCAATTAACGTATGTAATACAGCCAAAAACATTATAGTGTGGTGAAAAATATCCTTAGTGATTAATATACTTTTATACTACACACTAACTACTTTTACTATGCCTTTTGATATATACTTAAATGTTCTATTTATTTAAACATATTCAAGGTCAATTGTTTGTCAATGTAAATATATTGGATATATTGAATAAGAATGAAAATTGCACAAAACCCCGGAGAACTCTCATAGTCTAAATGCAGGGTGAACAAAAATATAAACCAGAGTTTAACTTAACTTTGCGTTGAATATTAGTCCCCTTAAAGTAATTGAAGTGAAAGTATTGATTCCAGACTTAACTAATTTAATTTGTAACATGAACAACATGTTCTATACATGTGCATAACATGCAGTGTTTTCCAACCTAATATAGTAGAAAATTCCACTAGTATCTCATTGATATTCCTATTGAAATTTCGATCGCAGTGAACAAACTCATACTCTTTATGAGCAGTTGACATTTAAAATGAAATATTAGTCTTAGTTCCATATAAATACTCATACTAATTAAAATAGTTATCCATTTGTATATTAAATTTACTTGCCATTGTAACAATAAAATTGTCTCTAATTATTTGCTTATGTTTTCCTCATTTTGTTTATGGCATTTTACTAGAATATACAATTTCATATATTTAAGGTACAGAGTAAGATTGGACCGAAACTAAAATTGTTTCAGTTCTTTAGTATACTGAATAGGCTACTTAATTCATTAGATAAACAACAGGCATAATTTTAGAATTAATTATCCACAGCATTGAAAAAAAAATGGTTTTAGATATATTTTAACAACGAAGCTAGTAGAAAATAGGTAGGAATTGGACTAGATACGATTTAACTATAAATACTCCAAATTTGTACTTTTGTTTTTTGTATCATTTTTATTTCTTCTTGTTCAATAAATAAACCAAAACAAAATAAACTATTTTTTTTACGTGTACAGTGAGAAAGTAAACATGCACTTCTAGTGAAACAATACATGTTATTAACTATTGCACAAAATAAAATTGCATGTGAACTTAAGAATAATTACAAAGTAGGAAGATTACACAGAAAGTAATGTTTAATATAAAAACTTTGGGGGAAAAGCCTACATGGGCTGGAAGTCTGTGCGTAGTGATAACCCTACGCTGAATCAATGAGTAAGAACGTTCCAGACTTGAACCTAGCATTCTAGTGAAGAGAAAACATCCCTTAGTTTCTAGCTGTTGCCTACATGTCTACCTAAGTTGTCACAGATGTAACCTAATAAATAAAAATGTATCAACATATTTCCTACACTGAACACACATGATAACACTCAAATACAATCCATAACCCAACACAATGTACGGCCATTACTATGCAGAGGGCGTCTTCTGTAAGGTGTTCTTGCATCAGAGCCTTGGACCCGGAGTTCAATGACTATCCGTTCACTCCAGGGCAAGTAACCTTTGTACCCTGTAGTTAACTGGTTTATCTCACAACAGTTTATGTCAATCTATGGCACTGATCGTACAAGGGCAGAAGACTTAGTTAATGTTTGCACTGTGGTCATGAACCCTCACCTCAAAATGTAAACAGAGAAAAGAGAATGGTCGGTTTGAGTTTGGGTGGGTGTTTTACTGTGGCACTCTACAAGTTTCAGTTTGTGTATGTCTGTGTTGAGTTTGTGTATTTTTGAGTGTTTATTTTTTCAATTATGGAATGTTTTAAATTAAGTAATGTTAATAAACACAACTTTAAGCTTACGCTTAAGCCGTTAATCTATGTACAAAACTGAATTTGGTGGGAAGTCTATATTAAGACGTTAGTTGCATTTGCATTCATCCCTATGTATGCCACTGGAATTTTCAGTCAGTCGCTAAAGATAATTTGAAATTACTATTAAAAACAATTTACTTACGTTAATGGGGCTTAAAATAACATCTAAACAATTAAAGAAGAACCCACTTAACATAGTGGTAAGATAATTTAAGGCGCTTGACCATTAACAACTAGCTTAACAATACTTTGAAGACTGAATAACCAACCAGCTAGAGACTAAATAGACAATCATCGACCCAGGGATACATCATTTATCACTTTTGGTGCTATCAATCCTGATATCAACTACCAAGAGCTACATTCAAAATGCTCTTTGGTATTTTATATAATACTACTTGTTCTCAATTATATGTTCCATATGCAAATGTGAATGTGCAGTCCCTAATGTTTGGGAGAAATGATTATCCAGGCTACTCTTCATAATGAGTTGGATAGTTATATCGCTATGCATATATTCGCATTGCAAATATAACCTTTAATTTATTCGTCTTTTTAACAGGCGCTGTAAATTTAATTAAATGCCTTTTCTTTTAACTACAACGTTATTTAATTATTTAAATAGCTAAGATGTGTATGTGTTTTTCAGTAGTTATTCTTCAGTTACTCTCACCTGGTTTGGTGATTAGGTCCCCTTCATGTCTGAATGGACATTCTGGTTGCAGTTTTCACGGTTGCCGTGACATTGGCACTGAATGGTAGGGAGAGTACCTCGCTAAACAGCAACATTTGCGAGATAATGTGGTGAAGCTCGTATCTGTTGATACACTTTATTGCCAAGTTTTCCACAGTGGATTCAAAGTGTTTTATTCTTAGTATGCATTAAAACATTTTCGTATTTATAGTATCCCTGTAATTAAATACACAACACATTGGAATGAGGGATTCAATAAATTAGCTTTTTGAATGAAGATTTCTTTGATGTATTTACATAGGTTTTGATGAGTCCCAAAACAGGACGTTATATCCCAAAGAGTATTATTACCTTTATATTTTTGTCCTCGAGAAATCGGTACAATTGGCCTATTATATTAAAGTTTATTGATTACCATATCTAGCTAAATATGTTTCCTGACAATGAAACTTAAACATACACTTTAAACACAATCGACTCTATTTCACGTTCCTAGCCCAGTTCTAGCAATTTAACTCATTAGTGAAATACAACCGAAACAATTTATCGATAAACTGTTCCTAGATTACAATACAAAAGGTGGCCCTGGCCTAGTTTCAGCCTCAGACAATACCGAGACATGCTCCTCCCAAACGCTGGATGGCATCTCAATAAGTTGCTCAACAGAAGATGTCGATGCAGACAGCCGATGAGTCATTAAAGGATTCATTAGATCAGCGACTAGACCTGCTGCTGCTACTGTCTGCTCACTGGAGGGTTACTAAGCATTTTCCTGCCTGCGACCTCAATATTGGCGGGAGCTTGTCACAGTTCTGGCGGTAAAAATATCGTCACTCATTTGGAAAAAAGAATTGTTAATTGGAACAAAACGATCATTTTACAGTTTTTCAACAATTCGAGGTCTCTTTCCTTGGACGCTAGGCCGGAATCGGCTTTCACATTTAAATACATACATCTTTCACTTAGATAAAATACATTGGTGATTTGGTAGGATTCGAACCCAGGACCTCAAGGACCGAAGTCCCACACACAATTCTGATTTGTTCATACATTGAGTACAACGGATGAATAAAAACTGTAAAAGCTCAACATGTTGAAAGTATTAAAACAAATAAAATATCAGTATCAGTTTTTCTAGTCTGTATAATTTCCAAGGAACGTTTAGGGTTACATAATTTCCAATACCCTCCACTTAACTATGGCCTTGAATATGGCGGGAACCGTCTAAACAGGATCCAGAGAAAAAAGACAGGAGTATGTTGACTGATGCGTTAATGGCAACTTGTTTTACGAGACCCCATCCTATCAAACGCTGCTTCGGGCGTCGGGTTCGAGCGCTTGTAATAACTTAAACCTCCAGACTTTGAAGGTCGCTTGACGGCTTATGATTTTTTTTGTTATATTACCTCTTATATTCTTGTCTCTATAATGATTGAGTGAATGATTGGTGAATTGAGATACCTCTGTCCGAGGAAGATATTAGAGACCAAATATATAATCGATGATATGTAGCTTAAAACAGGTATACTAACTGAAAATAGATTCACATGGACTTTACCAGATAAGGTTTACATAAAATATTTATATATTAAAAGAGTGTTCAAGTATCAAAAGCTACCGATGTTTGGGTACGAAATTATAAATTCTAATGCAAATGATTATGAATAATTATTATACTCTTGCAATTTGAATTTATTTGTTCCTGTAAAAGAAACCATTACGACTCCAATAAAATATTTACTAAGCGTTAAGAACAAAAAGATAAGCTTTGTTAAATAGGTCCTTATATACCCCTGATCTATATAACAATACCTAGATACACATCGTAGATCTGAATGATGCGTGATGATTTTTATCTAAATTTAACCCTTAATCATAAGTTTACCGTATGTATAATGGATCCAATATTTTTACTAGATCGACATTTATTTTTTTTATTATTAACACACTTAGACAACAGTCAGTTGCTGTTTCACATAAATGAAGACATTCGCGTTACAGTTGACTGATTATCATTGAAACAAAGGCTGACTTTTCCCATTGTTATTGTGGGAGTAATATTGCATCTGCCTTCAGCTTGTAATCACTTAATGACAAACAGTGAGGGTTATGAAATTCATAAATCTCATTTAGTTTTGAAACCAATATTCAGCCTAAATGTCTAGTTAATATTTAAGAAATCCTTGATATTGGAGGAACTTGAACTCAATTTGGAGTTAGTGTTCTGTTTCTAATTGTTTATAGGCTACTTAACAAAAGTAGCTATGGTCGTAATTGCCTTTGCAGTCGTACTAGAATGTTTATTTTTGTCAAAAATCGCATTTAAAACTTTTTTCTATTGTTTGAGAATTTTCGTTAGGTATTTTATATTTCAATTTCAGCTTTATTTTGAACTAGCTGTTACCCACGGACTTTCACCCAGTTTGACTTCATAAGTATAATAAAACTATTGATTGGTTAAGTTAAGCTGAATTAAACAAAACAGAATACAGTTACAAACAAATAATCACACCTGATTTTAATAACGGAATAAGTTGAAAGAATAACAAACAAATAAATACAGCTGAGGTATTTTTGGCAATGGTATATGGAAAGTTTCCTATAAAAAGTAATTATGACCTTAAAGGGCAATTAATGAAATAATGGAGAGTTTTGCGCAAGGTTACTCGTCGTGACGAACTTTAAGCGTATGGTTTAGGGGGTGTGACTTGTAGTTTTCTCAAAAGGTCATGATTACTTTGGGCTTTATATATGGATGACAATCCATTACTTCTTATAAATAAAGCAATTAAATGTTAAATAATAACTAAATTGTGACAAGTATTCTCAATACTTATCTTAGAAGATCTTCAATACATACCTCCATATTTTGAAATTAAATGAAACGAAAATGCTTCTTTATTGAGTTGACCTCATGCTGACCTCATTGTAAGTTAGACCTCTTGGTCCTTTCTTACAGTTCTCTATTTAGCAAACGTTCTACAACAATTTTTAAATCACCACTAAACTTCCAAATCCAACAACTAAACTGCCTAATGTTTTGCACACTCGTCGAAAGTGGATTCCAAATCAAACTCCACTAATGTAACAATGACCATCTCCCAGTGACATTTGCCATTCCCACGTCTCCCCCTCGGTTACCCAACCCTGCCCAGCCTCCTGGCAGTTTAAAGTATAGCACACTCGGGGGGAGGGGCGGTGGCACTGCTGTACTATATAGCCGCCTCACCTTCAAATTGGCTCCATTCAACACAACTCCGCCTGCCATCCACTATCGCCATGATTCACGTGAGTGACGACCGGTTTTGTGATTTTGGTTACTATATTGTGGTTACGAGTTAGTGGTTTGTGGTTTCTGGTTACTAGAATGTGGTTACGAGTCGGTGCTTTATGGTTACTTGATTGTGGTACGAGTTTGTGGTGTGTGGTTACTAGTCTTAAGTCGGTAAATACTAGTTTGTGGTTGTGGAGCGGTTGGCGAAACCAGTTTTTGTTAGCTTTTAGTTTAAAGGTTGTGGTTACAATTTGTTGACGGTTGTGGTTTGGTTGGCGGTTACTACTTTTTCTGGCTGTTGGTAATATGTGGTAGTTGGATACTAATATTTATGGTTTGTTGTCAATAGTCTATAGTTAGTAAAAGATAATTTGTAAATTTTGTTCAACTTGTAAAACTTTATTTTGTTGCTTTCAGTTAAAGGTTGTTAATAATTTTATTAAGGCGGTTTTCATTTGGTTAGTAGGCACTAGTTTTTGTTTTGCAGTTCATACGATGTAACAGTTGGTAGCTGAATCTATGTGGCTGTGGGTATTAGTTATGGTAAGTAAGAATGTTCAGTAGTTGGCTGTGTTTTGGCCATATGACTTGGATTATAGTTGATGGTAAATAGTTATTGGTTACTGGGTGTTTTAGCTTGTGGCTACTAATTTTTGTAAGACTAAATTACTTACGTATTCCCGTCACAGCTCAATAAAATATGTCAATTCAGGACATGTTTCGGTGTTAAAACACCATCGTCAGCTTTGGGTACATATGTAGAGTTGATCAGTAGTTAACATCCAGTGTTTTAACACCGAAACATGTCCTGAATTTACATATTTTATTGAGTTGTGACGGGAATACGTAAATAATTTGGTCTTACATTATGTCCAACAGCTCAGGGGCTACACACATGTATTTTAATACTAATTTTTGTCTGATGATATAGTTTTAGTTACTAGTTTGTAGTAAATTCTAACTATTTTAAGATTGATTGTGGTTTGGTTGGAAGTGGCAAGGAATACATTTTTGTCCCGGAGAAACATGAAATAATTTGTTGTTATCTTTAAAAACGCAGGGTAAATTATCTTTTATTTATCATAAAAGAAACTAGAGTTGCAAAATACTTTTAATCCATAAAATCTAAAACTGTAATTGATAAGGAATGTTTAAAAATAACAGCATGTTCTGCGTAACGTATATTGTGTACGCAATTAGGTAATGGTAAACTCCTGAAAGAATTGGTAAATTTGTAATATCTGTGATTTTAAACACCAATGATCAGATTTAACCTATTTTACATGTTCTATTATTAAGCCTGGATTCGATCATTGATTATGCATGTATGATAATGTTCTCTCTACCCCTGTCCCCAGATACTGTTGGTAAGCCTGGTAGCCACCGCCTGGGCCGCCCCTGCTGAACTTCCTGCAGCTCCTCTAACCAAGTCTCAACAGATACCCATCGTCTCACTGGAGAACAATGTCAACTTTGATGGCAGCTACAAATACAGGTAGGCTAACCAAATATAAGTTTCTCAAATTCAACGTATCTCTTTTTCGTCGTCAAGCCGCAAACCTTGAGTATGTAAAATACTACTGTATATTGAGTGTGGTTAGAAAGGTTCACACTTCTAACTTGTATTGCATTTCCTGTTTTGTTGCTATTAAACAGTATAAAACTACAATTTTTCTATTTACTTCGTTTGTATTTATAAGTATCAGTAAAGAGAATACTGTGCAGTATGAATGAAATAATTATCTTGACTTGTCATTTTAATTTTGGTACAAAAAGATTAACGTTTTCATTAAACCTATATAATTCTTTGTGGTAAAAATGAATAAATAATTAAACTGATATAATACATTTTTATTACAGTTAGTAGCAGCCTTAGACCATTTTAATATGCTTATGTGCTAGGATAATACTACAAAAATTACTTTACATATTAGAATAAATATATTATAACAGGAAGATGTAGCATGTAAAATTGGGAATTTATGAAACTAAATATAGTTCACAACAAATATAGGACAGACATTTTTTATACAAATATATAGGAAAGTAAAACCAACTATCACCTAACTTTATATGTGTGGAACTTGTATAAACTTCCAAATACATAAACAGTAAACTAATAAATAGTAATTGATTGATGGCAACTCATATACATAGAAACAAACAAACATCAGCTTATTATAATATGAAAAGCGTTTCATGTCAATTTCTAATAATATTTTACCCTAATAAGATCTAAATAAAAATGTTAATGGCTATTGGATTACATTTTAGTGCGTACTACATGAGTGCAGGTTTTGGTAGTATTTTTAGATTTTTAGAAGTTAAACATTTTTGTGAAACTATTTTTATCACCACTAATAATCAATTGTTAATCAATATATAACGACTTCAAGTTAATATAGTATAGTTCCACCACTACAGTCAAAAAACCATTAAAAACGAATTTGCAAAATCCACCTTTGATGTATTCGATGGATATTTATTTTTGTATAAAGCATTCAATATTAACAATTAGAGGTTTGGGAATAAGTACATATAACTTAAATATTATACAACATAATCAGTAGTAGCAGAAGTGTTATTTCCCAGTTTGATGATGTGACTGTCTGACTCTGAGAGTACCTCAGGGAGTCTGTGGCATTTAAGATTTAGGTGGCTTCCTTTCGCTTGGGTTTCGACATATTCCCGCAATAGGTTACCACGTTTCAACTTATATCCCTTAATATATTCAGAACACAAAGAAACTGTGCCAAAAATGTTGCACCATGACATAAGTAAGGAGAGATATTTGTTATTGAGCCCCAAATACGAAACTAATATTTCGTTAACAGATTCCATTCATTCTATTAGCCTGTGGTCATTATGTTAATTGCGCTAATTTAGCTTTAATGATGACAACCAATGTAAAAATTGATGTAATGAACAAGTGCAATAAATTTTATTTTTCGTTTGGTGTCTGCTTTCATTATTAACTTCTTAAGTGTACTGATTTAACTGAAATTTGACAATTAATGTCCATGTACCGAACGATGTTTTTGGCATTTTGTCAATTTAAAACATTACTGCTTTGACGACCCAGCAAAAACATTTAATAATTAATATGTTTAGTATTTTTAGTTTCCACTGCCTTATATTTTTAAATTGTAGTTTATTTTGTCCTTACAAAAGGGTTCTAAATATAAAGTAAAGAGGATATATTTTTTTAATTGATCAGACACGTAAAATCATTGTTGTAATCATCAATATACATCGTAAACATTGAAAAATATACTTGGCCCTTATCCCAATTGATTGGTATCGAATTAAAAAAATGTATAAATACGTATTTGATTACGTTATAAATAATACCCATCGCCAAAAAATGGCATTTTTACTCATTTGTTTGCACATTAAAATGTATTAAAAATAATCCCTATAGAAATTGATTGCTGTCGAAAAAAAAAAATCTCTAAATACTTAACCCAAATGAGATTTCATAATCCAATTATCTTTTTTAGTTTCTTTTGACAGTAAATGCACAATTCTCTTTCACATTCATCATACATTATTGCTCACCACGAAGAAAAACGTGGATGAAACTAATAGCCTAGGCCTACAAAAGATGCAAGTAATCAAATCAACCTTTTTTCATTGTGATGTAGTATCTAGTCATTAATGAAGATTAAGTGTTGAAGGGGATCAAGAAATATGATCTGTTCTCATTAATGTAACATAATTTTCCTTGAAGAGTGAGACAATAAAGTACTTACTTCATACAGGTTATTAATTTAAATGCTATGTTATTTTTCAGTTTCGAGGGTGGCGACGGCACCCGAGCCATCCAGGAAGGATCACTGAAGCAGGTCGGCCAAGACGTTGGTGAATCTGCCCAAGGGTCGTACTCCTACGTGGGTGACGACGGTAGGAACTACGCCATCTCCTACACTGCTGACGAGAACGGCTACCGACCCCAGGGGGACCATCTCCCCCAGCCACCACCCATACCTGAGGAGATCGCCAAGAGTCTGGCGTTCCTGGCGACCAAGGCACCCACCAAGGAAGATCTGGAAGGTCAATACACTCCTTGAGATGGAGGGTGATTGATAGTAGGGGGAATAGGTCTGAGAGAGGAAACTTTTGTTATTTACTTCAGATTTTCTAAGAACAATTAATTTTGTTTTAATGTCCGTACCAGATTTATTTAGGAATGCGAAGATTTATACTCTGTGATTCTGATCTGATTGCAGAAAATGAGTTTTCAAAGAATATTATTTAACATCAAAATTAGGTACGTTTGAATCAAGATGGTCGAAGTATTTTATTCTTTTAATTTAACTGCGTACGATATTATGGTAATACGAAGATTTGTCATACCAAATATCTCTCCTGGACCTATTTAGCCCTAAAATGGGTAATAAAGCTGTGATCTCTGTGGTATTTAGTAATAATCCTTTAGCTCAAAAAATTAACCTGGTTCTACTTTATAAAATATGCATATCCTTCATACAATTAGTGTTACTACTTTATACTTCATTCTAAATATTTATTACAGAAAGTACAATTAGATTCTGTGTTTAGCTTATGTGTATAAATATAAGTTTTATCGTGTTGATGGTCTTATCTTTTGTACCTTGCCCTTTCAATTAACTTTGTACGGTTATAGTCAAATTTTGATTCTAAACTTCTTCTTAGTTTTATGTTATTCTCATGGAAAAACTTTATCAGTTTTTTCAGCGGAATACAAACACTTATCAAATGTAAGGTAATGTGAAGTGTTAAGATAAATCTACGCTAAGATAAAATAGGAGTATTTTACCAACATCAAGGCACTCAATAGCACTCAATACCAATGCATAAAAGACAGTTGAAAAAGGCTTAAGATTTTATAATAGGGTAGACCAAAATATGAATATCCCAAAAGTTGCAGTATTGAAATTCGATGGTGGAAGAAAAGATAATTAGCTATCTTTGGATAAAATAAATGTGGTATTAATTAGAATTGTATTCACTTAATCGTTTACCGGTAAACTATCAAATAATAATGAATCGATTTTTTCTCTTGGATTTGTAAACATGTTCATTTATCTAGTTATGAAAAACAGCTACGTATTTTAAAGCCTAATCGAAACACATTTTTAAGCAGCTTAGATTTATAGACAAACCATCAATGTAGTTCAAAACCTTTTCTTCATTGTAATGTTTCCAAAATGTCCTTAAAAATCAATAAAACAATTATTCGTTATTGTTTTATTGGTTATGACAATAAAACGATTGGCAACGATTATTAAATCTTATTCAGTTCACTAATTAATGACATAATCTAGAACAAATAAACAAAACCTACCCCATATTTGTGTAAAATGCTATATTTATTTTGTATTATTACAGCTGCCTGAAAATGTAAAATAAGGACTTGACAGTTATGCTCGTTTACACCGATATTTCAATAAAAAGGTAAACATTTGGATTGTTATCATCCATGGAGACCAATTAGCATATACTTTTAAAACCTCACCTCAGAACTGTTGACGTCCTGTGGGTGTAACTGAGGAAAGTAAATAAGCCTACAACATTCCAAGTTATATTATGAACCATCTTTGCGCTTAATTTTGACACATCGATTTGGTTTATAAGTCCTCACAGTCACCCAGACAGACACCACCTCATTAGATAACAAAAGAGGGAAAAGGCAAAAAATTTCAATTATTAACCAGCTTAATGAAATGGAGAAAATAATTCTGGATTAAGCAATTTATGTGCAAAGCCTACAATCATAAAATGGAAATCTAAGAACCGTATACAGCTTTTATTATTATTAGTAGTATATTAATGCAAATTATACTGATTGCTAAAACTGTACTTATTTTTAGGTTTTATCCCAAATGATGGCAAAACTATTAAATAACTAAACTTAGGCCAACTATTTACCACCTTGTAAATAATGTACATGAAACAAGTTTAAGCATAATAGCATATTTTTAAATATCTTGTCCTCGAAATAATCGTCTTATAAACATTTTGTTGATATCAATTTTACTCGTTATTTGATATGAAAAAAAACATTACAGGAAAACATAAATTTTGGGAAATAAGTGCTGATGCTACATTTTGTGGATAAATCTACATTATATCGCTTTACTTAAGCTTAAATCCTATTGGAAAATTGACCTTAGTGACATATTAATTCCAGACACGTACAGTGTATATGAGCTCCGTGTAAAGATTTTACTCGACCGTATTACGTATAACCGAAGCTGCCACTACTAGCAACATATCCAATTAATAATTAAACCTTGTGCAACGATGGCCCAAAGGTCGGAATGCTTTATTACTAACAATACGATTGAAAAAGAAAGTAAAACGATACATTTGATTATCTAAGCTAACTCACAAGCCTTAAATTAAAAATAAATACACATATTATATCTAAATAATTGAATAATTACATATTACCAGTTTTTATCTAACATATTGTTTGTCTTCCTCATAAAAAGTATGGGATGCAGTCAATTACTTTATTAGAGTTCGTTTAAATGCAGGGTTCGGAGATACAGGGTGTGAGAAAACCCGGTATCAGAATGCCGTTCGACCATTGCAGATAATGTACAACAAATCGGAACTATGCGTACAATTAATGTTTGAATCGGATATATTTATGCTTGTTGGGTTTGTTTGCTCGAGTTTTTTGGCCGAACCAATCTCGACACCTAGAAGCATCGGTCCACCGTGCAATAAATTTGCATATAATAATAAAATAATAAATTATTCACATATGAAACATTTCTCCCATTACACTGGTGACGTATTACATGGAAATGGAAGGAAGTCTTAATCGAAATCATTGAATCAAATGTCTCATAGATTAGTCATTGTTATTGTTCATCTAAGTATAGCAATATTAACTGATCAGCTAAGTATAACAATATTTAAGTACAATAGGTTTATGGCTAGATCCTGGCTAGTTTATGGCTAGGTTTATGGTGTGATAATTTGTAAATATATTAAAAAAAAAATGTATACTGTATCAATATACTGAATACTGTATATAAAGAAAAAAATAGACATTATTTTAAAACCATATTTGAGGCGTTAACAAACAGTCGTTTACTGATTGCTTGGTTTTGTTTGAATTCACTTTTTTGTGGACTGATTTTACCGCAACGTTGACCATCACGTTATATTATCATTGTATTGTATATTGTTTGAGGATGGGTTTCTTAACATTTGTTTGGATAAAATGAAGGGATACCAATACAATTTTTGAGTCAATTTGAGAGAAAAAATGATGGCATCAGGAATTGTATCGTATTTTATGAAACAGTAAGAAATGAAAATCCGTTTAAAACCACAGTTTTGTATATTAATTCAACAGCAAACACCAGAAAACTACAATACCAGTTCTCCTTTACCCACGACTCCGATCAGTCTACAATTAATTGGTGCTGCGAGATACTTCCACTCCCAAGAGCAACGCCCCCGACTCCGTGTGTTTCAATGGTCCAGAGTGCATTACTTTCGCTGCATCGAGGGTTGTGTCGTGTGATGTAACCTTAAGGTGAAAGTGACTCCACCTTCTCACCTTGAGCACGCAGCACGCTGCCAGACTGTCTGTCAGACACCTCCCACACTCGGAGACAGGCACGCGGCGGGGACAAAAGGCTGACGAAAAAATGGCAAAGGAAATGAGGAAAATGGAATGTAATAATACAATAATTTACAAGAAGTAGTAAGGTAAAATGATACAGTAACACCTTCCATTATCTATTGCGTTTCTATCCATTTTTCGTTATATTATTAAAAATTTTCCTGATAGCGAAACTCTCACGCTCCGGCATAATAAAAAGCTCCGGCTATTTGGGTGTTGTTTTTTAATTATAGCCAGTTTTGTATTTTATTTTCTATGTATATTCTATATTATATTTTAGATTAATTTCGCAAGATTTTGTTATAGTTTGGTTAGACATTCAAATTAAGGGTGGCTCTGTACCCCAAGGTATTTGTGTTCTTTTTTAGTTTCGACGCCGAGAGACAATGTACAGTGAGTACTGAAATTAAAGCTTTTAGCGAAAGAGGTGCAAAGTTGTCGTACTGCCTTTACTACAAAACAGATTATATTGGCAATTGGTCGGATTTAAGTGGCGCACTAACATGCCGTGTTCCACTTGTGTCGCTAAAACTCTAATGGCACTAATCGGTGCCTCCTCCTAGGAGGATAAAGTAGCATACTAGGTCGAAGGTTCATATTATATTAGTCTTTAATAAGCCAAAACATCTTTGGATTCGATCATTTCATAAATCATTTGCATAAACCTGCATTTCAATCAACTATTTCAGTTATGTTATCTTCTTCAAATAACACGATTAAACAACTTGTTACTACGTTATTCACGTTCGCATTACAATTACCACGCTGAAGTAACTACTTGTCCATTACAATCCTGCTGAATAAGTATCATTGTTTCCTACAGTAATGTCAGCCTCCCACGTGCGTTGACCTTGGCATTAGCTGTGACACTCCCCAGGGGACGTGATCATCACGCTCCTCCTCTCACTGGAGTCTCCGGACATACCATCAGGGAGTCATGGAATAGAATACTGAGAGTTGTAGAGTCTCGTGGATAATGAGGCGTTCTACGCTTCACAATAGTTTCCATATTAAGTCTTAACGTTGTGCTGCAGTTTATCGGGGTGTTAATTGAATGCCTTTCTAAAAATATTTAAGATTTTGGACTCTTACCGATTCCCTTGTATATTGGAGGGAAACGCTTAAACAGTGATCATCTGTGATTCTGACTCGGTTTTTTAAAAACGTTTTTTCACGCAAAGTATCGTCAAATTTTAAAACGTAAAACACGATTTGTATTGTTACTTGTCTCTTTTATGTCTATGAAATATCTCGGCCTTATGGTCGCCATTTAAAAGTAAAGAATTAAAATATTAAAATGACTAAAGTCAATATTTTTTAATTAGAAAATCTAGAGGGTAAATATAAACACACAAAGGTACTTCTTCTACGGATCAAAGCTAAAGCTTTAATTACCAACTTACAAATAGTAGTATAAAGTTACAGGTGTTTTATTAAACACTGTTCATTGAAATGTTAATGCACTACGATTTTGCTATTCGTTTGGTGAGAAACAGAATTATTATTTATATTTTGTATATATTATTGAATATTATTTATCATTTCCAATTTTTATGTTAGTCCAAGCCAATGAATTAATGGATCATCTCACTCTCACTCACTCAATACTTATATTCACACATCTCAGAACTAAAGTACTTACCCAGGTGTGACGGTATTTGGAGGTAAACCGGATCGATTCCCACCTTATACACACATATAAGATTACTAAGTATTCAATGATGGTACTTAGTATAATAATACGTGCATCTCCTGATAAAACTATCGACCTTGACAAACAATAGGTTGTGCCTTTCTCTACCGGCATTCCCATGGTAATATAGTTACCCTGGTGTACCATGGAGGTTGAGTAAATAAACAGCATGCTCTGTATGCATGTTATACACGTTGTGCAAGCTCACCACGATAAGCAAAGTCTTACGGAATTGTCTAAAATTAGCAAGCAAATTACTACTAGGAACTGAT